AATTTGCTGCTTCGAAATTTACTAAACGACGCCGAGTCGGCCACCGACAGTAGTGAGCAGCAAACGGAAAATGAACAGCACAACACAGCAGAAATGCGACAAACACCACAAATGGCAGCAGAAACGACAGCTGAAGAAAAGCATCGAGCAAGAACACAACATAGTAAGTAGAAAGTTGTTAAATCGAAACTAGTTATCAAGGCTAATGACTTTCTTTAGGAAAGCGCGACTTGATCAATTTGCAGTCAAACTTGAGCCCCAAATACATTGGATATGCCAATGCCAACTCCCCAATAACCACAATGTCTGAAAATTTAGACAAAATGCGCACAACACGTCGCCGTAATCAGCCTCTAAACAGCAGCTGTGAACTAAATGCCAGAGATAGGGACAGCGATGTGGCGTCGCCTAAGAGCTACGTAACGGCTGGTGCCTACATGAGTCCCATTGATAAGCTGCTCATTAAAAATGGCGCCAATTCACCCAACAGCACGGGCTTCGAGGCCGACGCTGAGGATGTGGCATTGATGAAACCATCACGCAAACAGCTCAAGCGTAAACTGAAACGTGGCCCAAAGCAAAAGATTAAGAGCATTCGAACGGATGATGCAGCCAATAAATCTAGTGTAGATTCAAATGTGGAGGAGCAACTGCCGCAGGTAGAGGGTATAGTGGAAAAAAGTCCTGACCAACCTGAGCTATCAATCAAAGTTGAGCCAATGGAAGAGGTTGTGGAGCAAAAAATATTTCAGACTGATGACCAAAATAATGTTGAACCAAAGCTAAAAGTTGAGGAAATTAAGGATGCAGACCAGGGCCCGGTGGAGTCTACGGCAATCGACGTTGAACCATTGCCATCTCCACCAGATCATATAGAGCCCGCCAACAATAGCGAGCAATCGATCAAATCGCCCTCATCAATCAGTTTAGATAGTGCAAAGGGCTCGTCAATTGTCACCGATGCGGGCTGGCCCACCTACCAGGTGGGTGATCTTTATTGGGGCAAGCTGTTTACCTACTGCTACTGGCCCTGCATGGTCTGTCCGGATCAGTTGGGCCAGATTGTGGGCAATCCACAGACGCATCCGCAACGCAAGTCAACGGACAGTGCGCCCGGAGCGCCGGTACCCATTCAGGTGCATGTTCGCTTCTTTGCCGATAATGGTCGTCACAATTGGATCAAGTCGGAGAATCTGTTGCCCTTTGCCGGTCTGAAAGCATTTCAGGATCTGCGCGAAGAGGTGCGCATCAAGCTCGGGCCCCGTAGCATCAAATACCGCCAAATGGTGGCCAAACAGAATAAGCTGCTCGTGTGGCACCAAGCCATCGAGGAGGCAGACATTGTTGCTCAGCTACCGTATGAAGAGCGCATGCAAAAGTTCTTTGACCTCTACGAATCAGCTATGTAAGTAGAAGCTAATCCATTATTAACTCATTCTTATACCTTTGCTTTTTGCTTCCGGTAGCACTCAGAACAGGGAGAAACGCAAGCAGACGAAGTCCGCCCGTCACGACACCTCCGATGTGGGCAGCAGCCTGTATGACTCCACCGATAATTTGCTGGCCAAGTCCACTTCTACGGGTCAGCTGGTGGCCGTCAAGCGAGAACGTTCGTCCACACCGTTCAGTCCGGCCTATTCGCCCGTCAAGCACAATCATCAGAAACGTGCAAAGCGGCGCAAGCTCAGCGGAAACGTTGAGGCCCAAGTGGGCTATACTTCTTCTGTTCCGGATGCTTCTGCGGAAAAGATGCATTCACCTGACTTGATTAACTATAAAAATCCAGAGTTTGGACAACTGTTCGATGCGGTCAAGGAGTACGTGATGGTTCATCGGCAGGAGGAGAAGGTTGAGAAGGTACTGCTAGCGGTGGTCCGTAACATTTGGTCACTTAAGCAACTGCAGCTGCGCGAATTGGAGCGAGATTTGGCCAATGGCGATGAAGAGCTGTTGGGATCGGCTCGCCTGGGCGCGGAACGCGGACGCGGCGCTGGCACCATAAAGCGTCTCTCGAATCGTCTGAAGACCATGATGCTGCGACGCAGTCTAACGCCAGTTGTTCCGTCCAACTCAAGTGCAGCTGCATCCCATTCAACACTGCATACCCCAGAGTTAGTGGAACCGGATCGACAACTCGCGGAGCAAAACAAAGTGAAAAAACCCATTGGCAGAGCCATTGAGGAAGTGATCGACGATATTCTGCAGCTGGACCGCAAATATCTATTTCGTGGTCTAAATCGCGAGCCTGTGTGCAAATACTGCTACGAACCGGGCGGCAATATACAGCGCTGTTCGCTCAACTGCAACACCTGGTTGCATGCCACGTGCCTGGCGCAGCAGGGGAGTGCAAGTAGCAAACCAATGAAAGCTCCAAAGGCAATTAACAACACGCCCGAGCCGCTGTCCAGCTCATCGCCCGTTTTAGACGTAGAGCCGACAACTACGACAGCGGTGGTTAAGCACATAACTGGCGATGAGGTGAAGCGGGAGCAGGAAGAGGCGGAGAAGCAGTCACTTATATGTCAGGAATGCGCCACTGGCAAATCGAATGCCTGTTGCATATGTCATGAGCACCAATTGCCAGTCAGCTCGCCGCCGACATCGCCAATAAAGCTGGAGACAGAGGAGACTTCTGCGGCCAGCAACAAGCTGATCCACTGCAGCCAACCACTGTGCAACAGTGTGTTCCATGCCAGCTGCTGCAAGTATTGGCCGCAGGCGAACGTCAGCAACTCCATGACACGCTGCCCGATGCACGTGTGCCACACCTGCGTCTCGGAAGACCCCAGCGGCAAGTACCAGCAGCTGGGCAGCGCCAAGCTGACGAAGTGCGTCAAGTGCCCGGCCACGTATCACCAGGACTCTCGCTGCATTCCAGCAGGCTCGCGCATGCTAACCGTCACTCATCTAATCTGTCCCAGGCACAACATTGCCAAGGCGGACGCTAACCTAAATGTGCTGTGGTGCTACATCTGCGTGCGTGGCGGCGAGCTGCTCTGCTGCGAGACCTGCCCCATTGCGGTGCATGCGCACTGTCGCAACATTCCAATCAAGACCAACGAGAGCTACATCTGCGAGGAGTGCGAGAGCGGACGTCTGCCACTGTATGGCGAGATCGTGTGGGCCAAATTCAATAACTTCCGCTGGTGGCCTGCCATCATATTGCCGCCTACGGAGATACCCAGCAATATACTGAAGAAGCCGCATGGCATGAATGACTTTGTGGTGCGTTTCTTTGGCACCAACGATCACGGCTGGATATCGCGTCGACGCGTTTATCTGTATATTGAGGGCGACACTGGCGACGGCAACAAGAGTAAGTCCCTAATGTCTAAGCGCTATATGGCCGGCGTGGAGGAGGCAACACGTTTCCTCAAGATCATCAAAGAGAAACGGCAGGAACAGGCCTTGGGTCGATTAACTGGGAATAAGCTTCACCCGCCGCCGTATGTCAAGATCAAGACTAACAAACCGGTGCCGCCCGTACGATTCGTCTACAACGAGCAAGATCTGAACATCTGCGACTGCAAGCCGGGCAGCGCCCATCCCTGTGGCCCCGAATCGGGTTGCCTCAATCGTATGCTCTACCACGAATGCCATCCGGATTACTGCCATGCGGGCACCCGATGCGAGAATCAATTGTTTGAGCTGCGCAAGTCGCCACGCCTGGAGGTCGTCTACATGAACGAACGCGGCTTTGGCCTGGTCTGCCGTGAGCCCATCAAGGAAGGCGATTTCATCATCGAGTATGTCGGCGAGGTCATCAATCATGCCGAATTCCAGCGTCGCATGGCCCAAAAGACTAAGAATCGGGATGAGAACTTTTATTTCCTGGGCGTAGAGAAAGATTTCATCATTGATGCGGGTCCCAAGGGAAATCTGGCTCGCTTCATGAATCATTCCTGTGAGCCGAACTGTGCGACCCAAAAGTGGACAGTGAATTGTAATAATCGCGTGGGACTCTTCGCCATCAAGGACATTCCAGAGGTAAGGAATATGATGAAGACAGAAGAAACCCATTTTAATTTCATTATCATTGCAGAATACTGAGCTCACGTTCAATTATCTATGGGATGATCTGATGAACAATGGCAAGAAGGCTTGCTTCTGCGGCGCCAAGCGTTGTTCCGGCGAGATTGGCGGCAAGCTAAAGGACGAAGAGATGAAGGCAAGCAAATGCTTCAAATTCAATTAAACAATATCTATATGTATCAATATCCCTACACAGGACACGAAACTGAAGCAATTGGCAAGACAGAAAGGCATTCGCATTAATGTCAGCGCACCCAAGAAGAAAACAGTTAAGAGGGCCAAAACCAAGCAGATCAGTGCAGACGCTGTGCCCCCAACGGAATCAACAGCGGATGCTGCAGAGACTGCAACTACTACTGCTGCTGAGGCTGCTGCCTCTGCCGTGCCGGAACCGTAGTTTAATAGACATGATTATAGATTATATTATATATACATATATACACTTACGGCATATTTGTTGCTTATTATCTTTTTTATTAAATTTTTTATACACAACTCATTCAATTACGCCGGACTATGGACGCTTCTATATTTACATATATAATTTATTGTTTGTTATGATTAAGTATGAACGTTGTAGAACAGTTAAGACTCATGAAAAATGTATATTTAAAAGTTTTTGAAATAATTTTTGAAAAGAATAAACGCAAAAGGCATTGCACGGACTCAGTAGTATTCAAAAATTTTTATTTCATCATTAAATCAGTTCATTATTTGGTTCACATTATATATAGATATATAAATTTATGTATTGATATAGTTGCTTCGACAACTGCCCGTAGAAAAATATGCTTATATATACATATGTGCGCACATATCATATATGTATGTATGAATGTATACATATTTTGTTCCACTTTTGGTTTAGTCGCTTAGCTGACCTACAGTAAAAATGTAGACAACTCTTTGGCATTGACATAACTCGTACTCGTACAACTAAGAACGAAAAAAAAACATAACTAAAGATATATATTACGTCTTAAATTTAGAATCTAAGAGTATGCACTTTAATCTTAAGTAGGATTAACTACTTTGTAACGAGCGAGAGAGAGAAGGAGGCGGAGAAGTAGAGAAGCGAATGCCAAACGTAAAGAAAACAAAACGATGATATATCAAAAAAGGAAACGCAGATTGTTAAACTGGCGGCGGATCATTCAACAGTTTCTGCTGACTAAAGTGACCCGCATTGAACTTTGGAACGACGGCTTCAATTTTCTTGACAATGGAGTTCAGCGACTCCCGCGACATCTCGTAAAGCGTGTTGAGCGAGATCAAACGCAGGCCGCGCTGGTTGCACACTTCAATCACAGACCATTTCTCAAAAAGCTTTAAGCAATTGCGCACGGAGTCAGTCGAAATGCTTTCAGCTAGAAAGAAAATTAATTAGTTTATTATCTTAGGGCCTCAAATTTTATAGCAGTGCTTCTTACCATATACACAGCTACCGCGGGTAACTTTATTGGATATATCGTTGATAACAAAACTGATAAATTCTGATTCCAGCATTGCGCTGCGGTGGAGAATTTGCAGCGACTGCGCGACAGCCAAATATGTGGCGGCAAATGGTGCCAAGACCTCGCAAATGTTGCGCTGCTGTTCGAGTGTTTCTCGGGCCAGCAACAGCAGATCGGAATCCTGCGATACGTGCTGTAAGTCTTCACTATCATTATTATCATAGTCGTCACTCTCATCCAATTCGTAGGCCAATCGACGAGCTAAGCGTTGCGTTTCTGCCGTATGACCAGAATCTTGAACCTATAAATAGAATCTTTAGGCTATATAATATATATGTATGTTTCATAATGCATTACCTCACTTCGGCGCAGACAACCATTGATAAGAAGCTCGTCTAGTTGTTTATGCAGCAAATTCTCCAATACTTGCGTTGGCTTGTTTAATATAAATTCGTAACGATAGACAAGACAATTCTCCAGAGCAGTCTCAATTAGTTTTCTTTGCGAAACACCTGGTGCTTCATTAGCATCGTCTTTGGCTTCTGGCAAGAGCGAATGAAATGTAGTCAGCAAAATGGAACTTAGGGCAAAATGAGGCGTTAGCATGTTGGAGTAGTACGACAGCTCTATGAAACTTTCCACCGTGGGTACAGCACGTATGAACATATGGCCATTCTCGTCGCGTACGCGGGTTACCAAACCTGTACAAATGTTGAATATATATATCAAAAATCTATAGAGTGATGGACAAGAGTATCGCCTACCTGTGCCCAGCAGATCACAGGCATAAGCCACAATGTGCGCCGATTCGCCTGAGAAACCCAAATCCTTGAAGCCAGTCAGTGTATTACGCAAATCATCAAGCGCAGCGGCAATTAGCTGCTCTTCGGCGCCATTGCGAAAACGTGTGAGCAGCAAGAAGGCCAGAGCATTGGTAGACATCACAGACGTGGCTGCAGCACAGTCAAAAACTACCTGGCGTGAGATGCTTTCGATAAGATTGCGATGTTCCTCACAGACGACATCGGTGCCGTACAACGAGGACGTTGATTGATTGTGCTGCAGGGTTCTGTAGGCGAAAAAAAAAAACATATTTGAAATATATATACCTGCATATATTATATTCTGTTACCTGGATGCAGGCTTATACACCTTTGAGTTGCCATCTTCACGTGCAATTTTATTGTACGAGCTGACGAGCTCGCGTATTGAATAGGGTTCATTGAAGTCAATGCGCATCAGACCATAGTTGGAGTTGAGGGCTTTCCAAATGCCCGAAATGGCCTTCCTGAACGACTCAGGCACCTTTTTCTCGCCCTTCTGTTCACGCACAAAATTACCATCAACCAGACGCTCGTAGTTGACAGAGACCGGCACCAGCAGAGCGTCCGGTATGCTGCCATCCATGAAGGCATTCACAATCACTGATAATATGCCGCCCTTGGGCATGCAAGGCTTGCCCGTACGCGTTCGTCCGCCCTCGATAAAGAACTCAACGTTGTGACCCTGTTTCAGAGCGTGCGTTATATACAAATGTAGAGCTGCACGATAGAGCACATCTTTCTTGCCCTCGACGGGATCGATTTTGCGCTTAATAAAGAAGGCGCCTAGGCCACGCAGTAGAGTGCCAAAAACTGGTATCTGGAGATTGTTGCCAGCGGCAACCAGTGGACTTCGAATATCATTGTTGGTCAGTATGAAAGTCACCATTATGTAGTCCAAGTGACTGCGATGTAGTGGCACAAAGATCAGCGGTGTGTCTGGCGAGCGTTTCGAGGCATTCTGCAACATTTCGATTTGTTTCGTATTGGTCACAACGCCAGATAGGAAGCAGGGCAGCAGTTTGTAGAGCAGCCAAGAGGTTATGGCAAGCAAGGTGTTGTTCAAAGTGGAGCCCATTTCCTTGAGTATTGTGATGGCGCGTTGCTCTTGCTTATGCAGTATCTTTTGATACGATATACCCTCCTTTTCGTCTTGTTCCTCATCTTTATCGCCGCTTATGCTGCGAGCAAGCAGTCGATGTCCATTTTTGGCATAGCGTTCTTCACGCAGAGCTTGTTCGGCTGCCTGTTTAATGGCATGTTTAAAGACGGCATCATTGTGAACAATTTCCGTGACCTGCGCAACATAGAGGATAAGAGGTTAACTCAAATTATTATGTAGACCATGCACTCACCTGGCGGTAATCAAATTTCTCACTTCGCACCACCTGAGCCACATAGGGCAATACACTGCCCCAGTCGAAAACGCTTTTGAACGGCTTTACTCCAGCATGAGGCGTCAGCTCTAACATATTCCGAGTGCCGATGCCATGCTCCAGAAAGTTTTGCGGTTTTGGTTCCTGCATAAGCATAATAATGTCAGATTTTAGTAAATATATATGTATGGATACATGTGATGCAATTCGCCCGCGCAAATGCAAAAATACGTAATACAATCCGTCTACCCATTCGAATCAAGAACAAGACTTACCTCAAACCAGCCACGCGCCCTAAATTCATTCATTTTAATTAAAACTACCAAATTCGTTTATATGTATGTATGTTTGTGCTTTGCTTCTGTATTAAAAATTCTCATTTCATTCAATAAAGCGCCGGCAACTGAATGCGTTGAGCGATAGCTTTCGTCCAGCTTTACAAATGTATATCGATTGCAAATTCAATCGATTCGCACAACAACAAAGATGGCAACTCCACGGAATTTTCGAATGGCGCCACATGTAATGTTTGCATGTGTACGCTGTGTGATTTACTGAATGAAAATCTTATCAGCTCGCATTTCACTGTCCACACATTCATACATATGTACATACATAGCCGTGTACACATGTATTTCATTGCGTGCTCTAAGGTTAATGAATGCATATGCGATTTGATAAGCGGTGTAAACTTACATTTGGACGGAGCGTAAATAAAATCTCATTGCCAATGGTGTTGAACTTTCCCAGCGATGAACGATAGCTTAGATTTAAATTGGGAAATAAACGGGCGATAATAGCGGGTGCTCTGTAAACAAAAAATTCAAACAATACATAAAGATTATCATATGTCTACTATTGGAAAATAGTTTTTGACTACCGTATGTTATGTGAAAATTAATAAATAGTTACTGCTATTATATTCAAAAGTGCGCAATAAAAAGTACGATTGCCCCACTGAAAGCACCTCATATAGTCTGTAGTCCAATTTGCTATATACAGCGAAACGTACGTATGTATTTTATAAAGTTCACTAACCTAGATTATATACATTCATACATGTACGATTGCCTGATAAGTAATTAGTTGCCCACAAAAACAAAGCTAATCAAATTGTGTGCAAAGAAAATTTAACTGTATAATATATACACATACACATTCATACATATACGCAAACACAAATTATATGTAAGAGCAACAAAGTGGCAAGGACGTTCATCATCTGGTGAATATCGACTACACTATCGAAACTATGTTGCCAGATAGATAAATGAGAAACCGTTATTTGTGAAAATATACTCGAAATGTTTCCTGTACATTGCAATAGTTGTTTCAAAAAACGGGAGGCTGCGCCAGGTACAGAATATTTGCTTACTCGCTGTCATCATATAATCTGCGCTAAATGCGCGCCCAATTCAACAAATGGCGAGCGAAAGTGTCCCGTCTGCAATCGTAGCTTTAGTAGCGTAGCCATTACAAGCTCGATGCCAACCCATGCTGCCAACTATTTTACCAATCCCAGCATATTTTTGAAAATGTATCGGAGTATTAGCCAATTCCAAAGTGATCAACGTAACTCGTACTATGCAAACTACTACAAAAATCAGGCGCAATTGCCAAAGAAAAAACTCAAGCTGCAGGGTTACATAAAGCTGGAAGCTCAATTGCGGGAGCAAAATGACAACGAAATGCGACGCATCAGAGAGTTACGTAACTACATCGACTACTACGAAAGGAACGACGAAAAGTTTCCTGGCAATGCAAGTTACAGCTCTTCTGATATATCGAGTACATCGCGCATGATTAGCCGTCCACGGACGCCCTCCCTTAGCGCCACTGACGACACCACGCTCACAGATGACGGTGACATGAATGAAAGCGCTCATATGGAGAAATTCGATAAGCTGCTCTCGCAGGCAACCTTAACAATATCCCAACGCGCGAAGCTTAAGAGATCTAAAAGACGAGACTCTAGAAATAGCGTTAAAAGTCCGTGAGATAAATGCTCACTAATTTGGTAACAAAAAACACGAGAAAACAATATTGACGTCTAAAAATTTAATTAATTTTCATATCTTAGTATAAAAAACCCATTTAAATTCTCATCTTAAGTTCAACTACTCTAAAAATTAGATGTTTAAAATGAAATATAAAGTCCATATTGTATTATTTGTTAAAACAAGTATTTAAGCTAATAATGTTCTGCTATAGGAAATAAGATTACTCAAAAATTTATTTGTTTCAGTTACTCGTGTATGGAAAGTTTTTTCTTAGTTTCAAGCTTTAGCTCGACTACACATAAACAATAAACATATATGTACATATACGTATGTGTATGTATTTATACATGCATATGTATCAGTATTTACGTATTATATGATAATACGAAATAAGAGCCTCATCAGATTAGAATTACTTAAGACTTGGACGCGCTAATTTCAACAGCAGTCGATTTCAATTCAGAACGTTCTTTATATTTAAATTGTACTTTAAAATCAAATTTGGTAAATACAAAATATGAAAATAAAAATATGTAAATGCTAATATTGGCTATAAAGAGTATGTGGTTTATTAGTTAGCATTTATAGCATTTGCATGTGTTCGTTTATGAGCTCATGCATAGTCATTCTGTTTATTGCAGTTTTGATCGTTTATTGGTTTATAATTCGAACTGAGGCAAACATCAATCAGCTCAAATTATGAATTGAGCTTTGCACTGCTATTAAGTAGCTGATTGAGATTAGCTTTACGGAGCGATTAAGGGGGTGCACTCGAAATAACAATAGCAAAAACTTAATCCGATAATTAGCTGGTCATTTAATATTTATTTACAGAACACACATACATACATATAGAGAGAGGAGATTTTCAATTATGATAATTGTTGCCAAACGGTCGAACGAGTGCTATCACAACAGTGAGTGTTATCACAACAACACTTAGAAGAGAATGATCGTACGGGAGAGCGGCGTTGTGGGAAGCAGGGAGAGAGAGAGCGAGCACAGGTGTGAGTGCATGCAAAACGAACTACAAATACATTGAATTTTGCGTCAGCAGTGGGCGAATGCACTTGCATGCAAATGACCTTTGTGCATCCTTAGACTACTGACACTATCGACTGACTATTGACTATCGGCTGTTCTTCCTTTGGCCCCGCCACGTGCTCGATAAGTGCAATGCGTCACATACCCAAAACGACACGTTTACACACATATGTAGATTTGGCGAACCAAATTTAAAAGCTCGTTTCGAATGCGCTGCATACCTTACGCGTCACAGCAACAACACTCAACGGTCGGTTTACTACGCGATTTTTAAGTGTTTTCTTTGTATACCCGAATGTGCATGTGTGTGTGTGTCTAAATATAACAAAGCTTTTCAAAACCAATTTATACGCATACATGCATACATAAATATATATGTAAGTACATGCATGCATCCAATGCAGTAAGTCACATTTGCATTGGTTTGCATTTTTAAGGGAAGCTTTTTCACTTTAAGATTACAACTTTGTCATTTTTAAATTAATTTATCGAACCACTTTCTAATCGAATAGGTGAACGATAGCTGGTGATAAGAAAATTTACGCAATTAACGTACGGAGATTTATTTACAATTTTAACTTCTATAGAAATGCAATGTATGCAAGAATTATAAATATGTTCTGGTATTTGTCTTCATCTTTATCTCATTGCTGATAAGAACAGCTCATTCAGAGTATATGACTAAAGCTTAATGAAAATGACAGATTGCATAAGTCCAATATAATCGTCTTCATCTGGTAAGCTTTCACTTGCATTGTGTAAATATTTTTGAAAAACGCAATCACAGCTTAAACAGATGCGTACCAATTTAGTAGCCACTACTGTATTTAGGTATGTATGCATATGTATGTGTGTTTCTGTTAGTGCATGCATACAGATGCGTTCTGTATGTACAGCTGACTGTCGGCGTCATTAATTGAACTTGACAGATGCTGTTGGCTATTGTTGCCGGCAGAACCACTGACGACGCCATCACCAGATGACTTCTCTTGCTTCCCAAGCCCTAGGTTAGGTTAACTTACCGAGTTTTAGCAAAAACGTAGTACACAATAAGTGCCACTGATGCGATTTCGATGCCGCCAAGCAAGGAAATTTCCGCCACACATTGGGCAAAGTTTAAAACGGACGTCAACATGATGAACAAAGTAAAATGTTCAAACTTTGGCGTCCAAAGTGCGTGGCCTTTTGTAATGGCGGCCCGCAATTATGATGACACCCAGCAGTAGTGGCACTGATATAAAGTTGATGTTGCTGGCTGATATGTACTTTGCCTTGACTGTCCGCAATCTTTGCGGAAAATTACGACGCGCATGGAAAGAGCGCCTCCTGCTCTCACTGTGTCTGTCAGTGTTTACGTGCTGCTGTATACAGATGCGCCCCGCTCCGTTCGCCTATTCCCTGTGCGCTTGTGTGCTCTGGCCATATACTGCGTTCTACTCTACATAACCAGACATCATCGTCGATGTCGCGACCCGTAATTCACGAGACAACGTTGTGAATTTTATTAAAGTATCGTATGATTTGGATTCTGCGCTTTGATTTATTCCAATTTCGTTTTATTTGCATCAATCTTGATAATTCACGCTTTATTATCGTTCTTTGATTTGTGCTATTTTATTAATTTGTATACTTGTGTGTGTGTTTTTTATTCGTATTTCGAGTGTGCAATAAAAAAACGAAAAATTGTTTTTGTTCTATTTTGGCACAGACACTTCTTATTCCCTTCCTTGTGTGGGGTAATTGCAACGGATTTGTCGTTGTTGCCGGCTTCCTTTGTTATTGGTGGTGAATGGTTTTTTCATTCTTTGTGTTCTTTTTATTTTCGTTTTTTTTTTTTTTTTTTTTTTTTTTTTCAAAACGTAGGGCACAGAACGCGCAGATGATACGTCCGCTCGGCTCGAGCGCGCAATTCGGAATAAACACGCTTGCAATCGTTGCTCTTTAATTAAATGCCAATTAACGTGTGACAACAAAAGTGGACGGAAACACATAAAAAACAACATATAACAAATACATTTGTATATAAACTAAGCGCAAGCCGAAGATCACCAGCAGCAACAATTCACGAATGACACAAGTTCTGCCGATAAGAGCATCGATAGGCAACTACTGACTGAATGTTATCAGCTGGTAGGAGAGACTACCCAAAAGAGAGAGGCAGCACATCAAATACTCTCTTTGAAAAAGAAGCATCGCGACTAGCGAGCAAAACTGAGAGCCACACATGACGTAGCGGAGAGAGCGGCCAAGATTATGTAGCTTTCCGAGGCAGCGCGAACAGCACTCTCTTTTTGAAGATAAGCGTCGGCAAGGTGTGAGAGTGAGGGGGGGAGCCAACGAGCAGTAAACACGCGGCATCAATAAGAGCAACAATTGAAATTGCCTAAGACTAAATAGTTTAATTAGATATTACTTTCGCACTGTATTATGAATAAAATTCATACAACTTTTGTTATTTATTATATAAAAAGAGTTTTGTAGTCGGCTATTATGTGGAAAGTACGTTTACTTCTTGGCCGCGGGCTTCTTAGCGGCAACCTTCTTCTTGCGGGCGGCCAACAGCTTGGCGCGGTTGGCAGCAGCCTTTGTGGCGACATTGGCGAAATGCGACTTAGCCAGCTCGACGTTCTGTTTCTTGGCCTTGGCTAGAACCTTGGCCACGGTACGCTTCTCAGCGGCCAGGGCAGCACGACGCTTGAGGACCTCAGCATAGGGATTCAACTTGATCAGTTGACGCACGTTGGACAGAGGATTGAGGCGGCGCACACGACGGAACACCTGCTTGCGTGGGTCACGCAGCACCTTGCGGATCTCCTCGGATTTCAAGAGGCGCGACAGATCTGTGTTGGCCATCTTGGGCTGGGGCAGATTGTAGCCCTTCTTCAGAGTGGATGGCTTCTTCCAGGTGCCGAACAGATCGTTCAGGCGTGCGAATGCCGACTCGGTCCAGATGACGAAACGGCCAACGTGACCGCCTGGAGCCAGTTTCAGCAAGTTCAGTTTATCCACACTGATTGTCTCAATGCCGGGGATATTGCGGAAGGCCTTGCGCAGACCCTCATCCTTGTCGTAGACAACCAGAGGACCACGACGGGCAATGCGGCGACGGTCGCGCATGGTACCACGGCCAGCACGGAAGCGCTGCGACTTGTACACCTGCAATGAGTTTTACACATTTAGTATAAATAGTTCAATGTAAATTGATGCAGCTGTGGCCCTCCACTGCAAACGATGGCACCTTGGAATCAGGCTGCAATCGTAACGCCTAGGAGGGCAGTTTATTTAGCAACGCATTATTGCTTGAGATGCTGGTGTAACGGAAAAATACAATATCTATATGATTCCGCCCAGGAATACGTTGCGTATATGAGAACAATTAACGATATTGCGTACAAACCTTCTGGATATCTGCCCAGATCTTCATGCGACGTAAGAAGACGACGGCCTGCTTGGTTTTCTGCAGCTTCTGGACCTCATCGGACACAACCAATGGGAATTCGGAAACGCCATCGATGATGTGTCCCTTCGACTGCACCAATGCGGGTACACCGGAGGCGGCGATAGCCGACACCAAAGCATAACGGCGTTGGTTTACATTCACCTTGCGGTGCCAGCGACGGAAGGTCTTGGTTGGTGCGAACATGCGACCACCACGGCACATGTTACCGAAGGCACCCTGACCGGAGCGGTGAGTACCGCCACCACGGACACGGGGAATACGTGCAACAGCACGTCCAGTACCCCAGGACTCGGCAGAAGTCTGGTGACCTGGTTTGATAAAATAGATAAATTGGTTTTAATTTGTTACAAACAAACAAGAAACAAAAAGTTGCACTTACCAGCCAGTTCGCTGACGGCATAGGCCTGACGGTTGTTGCGGCGCATCAGCTGGTGCACTTCGTTGACCACATCCGGACGAATGGGTGCCTTGAATACGGCRGGCAGGCAGATGTTCTTCTCCTTAACTGCCTCATTCTTTTCCGTGTACACGGAGACCAATGGCCTAGCGTTGCCTAAGCTCTGCAAGCATTACAAATGAATTACATTAAATTGACATCACAATAGTCGCGCGGCCGACGCACACTGTTAACACGTGGAGGTTAGGACGAAGTTTTCGGGCATTATTTTTAGTGTTTTTCACGTTTTAACTCTGTAAAATAGCCGTTTTTGCAGTATACGGTGGCACGGACAACACTCAAACACATTTGCTCACCATTTTCGCTGATTTTTAATCCCAATAAATGGTTTTAATTTTTCTGCAAACGCAGATGCCGTCCTCTATTTAATAAGAAGAACGAAGAAAGAAAGAGAGCTGCCGGAAACGACCTAAAAGTGCTGCCACTCGTTTTTCAGAGGCCATGGTTGCATTTCTGACAACATGGCTGTTGGACTGTCAAATAATTTCTGTTTAAAATACGATATATGTCTATCGAATATTATGGACGTTTTACAGCACTATATAAATATAAACAAAATATTGTGTGTTGCGTTTTTACCAAGAATAATTTCGTTTTTATAATTACTGAAACAAATGGCCGATGAAGTTATTGTTGATGCTTTGCCTTACATAGATCATGGCTATGATGACGTGGGCGTCCGAGAATCGGTAATTAAAGTGTTTTATACTCACTTTTTTGTTATGCTAACTATTCGTTTCCATTTCAGGCACTAGCCATGGTAGAGGAGGAATGCCGGCGCTATCGGCCAACCAAGAACTATCTAGACCATCTGCCCCTGCCAGCATCATCACCATTCGAGACGCCATTGATGATCAATGAATTTGAGCGGATACAAAATCGTTTGCCTATGGAAACGCTCTCCATGAAGCGCTACGAACTGCCGCCTCCACCCTCTGGCAAGCTGTCTGAGGTGTCTGCCTGGCAAGAGTCGATTGAGAACTCCATGGCACAGCTGGAACATCAGTGGGTGCGTTCGTTGAATCTTGAGCTAATGTTAGATTACGGCACCGAAGCCTGGAAATCGTATCTGGAAGTATTCACAGCCATGCAGGCCAAAGCCCAGCTACAGTTGCAGCAGCTGAAAAAGGACATGCAGGACATCAATTGGCAACGTAAACAGGCGCAAACACAGGCCGGTGAAAAGCTGCGTGCTCTAGAGGCACACTGGGTGCTTCTCGTATCAAAAAACTATGAAATTGAGACCGAGTGCGTTGAGCTAGAAAAAGTCATAAAAGCGGCGCGCGAGCAACTCGCGCAGCTGGCGCCACCTAGTGTAGAGCCAGAGCAAACGAATGGCCATGCCACAAAGGAGGAGGAGAGCAAGGCCCACGATAGCAATGGTGATATGAAAGAGGAGGGGGAAGAGAAGGAGCATCCTGCTGTGGAGGCTCCTAATGTGGAAGCTCCTGCTGTGGAGGCTACTAATCAAGATGAGGGCGAGGGCTCAAATGATTCATAGTCTCGCTGTAGTTTTTGTTTACTATAATTTGTACAATTTGAATTAAATATACATACATAYATCTCTCTATATATATTGAGTCGTATAACAAGCAAAATGCGAATACTTTGTATAAATATAGGATTCGTGTGTTTGTGTGTGTGTGTGTGTCTAGATCTAGATTCGAGATTATGCAATTGTAGTTAATACAGCTTCCATTCGCTGTCCTCAGTTGTAGTCGTGTATGGCACATTTGTGATACTATCTATGGCTTATGGCTCGCACAGGAGCGCGAGGTGGGAGCAGCAGCAGCAGTAGCGGATCGAAAGGAAAAGGAGCAGCATATAAAGGAACCATAGCAATTAGCAGGATATGTGGCGGGCATGTGCGCTTCATCGCTCCCGTGCATTGATTAACCAAAAAGCCAAGCAAACAGTTAAAGGATTCGCTGTCAACATCTACAGCGTTGTCTCAGGAACATGTTCCGACTGTGGCAACCTGTGCCGCTGCTGCATCATCAGTAGTTGCTCCTGCTCCAGCCGCATGTCGGCCACCTTCTGCTCCAGTTTCTTCATGCGCATCTGATATTTGCGTTTACTCTGTTCCAGCAGCTGGCTCAGATTGCTGCAAAGGAGGAAGAGTCTTGGTTAAATCTATACACTGGATATCTGCTACTTCTACACTTACTCGTTGGATTTTTGCAGTTGCCGAAAGTTCTGATGCATTTGCTCGCACTTCTCGTCGTTAGCCTTGTGTGTGGCATTGATGCTCAGCAGGGTCTGAATGCGACTCTTTAGCTCCGCCTCCCGGCTGAGCGCCTCGACCAGCTGCTGCTCGGTGAGCGCCGCCTGCTCCGCCTCCGAGTAGGACACCCGATTGTTGGCCTGCAGTTGCTTCAGTGCTTCATGGAGAATGCTCACACGCTCATTCGCGTACTGCTGCTCTTGCTCGGCCTCCTCCTTTTTGGCCTTCAGCTGTTGGTTTTGCTCGCGCAAGTCCAGCAGCTCCTGCATGATGACAGCCATCTCTAGATCCATGGGCGAGTGCTTCTCCTTGTCTAGCTCCTGATCCTTCTCCAAGGCCAAACGCTTCTTCTCAAACACATCACAGAACGGCGACTCCAGATTGACTATGGTCTGCTGCACCACGGAGCGGCGGCCCTTCAGCTTAGAGACATGACAGCGCAGACGATTATCATCGTCGCTCGACCATTGCTGCTTGTGCTTGGGCACATTTTCCACACCCAGATTCATGTTGTGCTGCCACGGCCCCAAGCTATTCTCGCACAGATCCTTCTCGCTCTCCAGTCGGGCTAGCAGATGATGCGCCACTGTTTCCACGGCTCGCCGACTCTCCTCGGCGGCAGCGGATTTATCGTTCAGCAAGGCCAACCTGCATGACAATCATTCAATCAAGCAATCAATCAATTAACTCAAGTGATATGCCCACCTGCTCTCCAGCAGCGCCAGCATCACATCGTAAGCCTCAATGGCGCGATCGCTGCAGTTGAGCGCCAGCTGCAGGGCCACAGCATTCGATTCGTATTTGCCGCAGAGCAGATAGAGATGCTCGGTGTGCTCCTTGGACTCGTCCAAGGTGAGGGAGAGCAATGTGTTGCGCACTTTCATTTGCTCCAGCTGGCGCTGCACTCGCTCCAGCTCTAGTTGCAGGGGCGCCATCAAAGTATCCATCAAAGTGTTCTGCTTGCAAACCAAATGCTCGACAAGATTGATGTCCTGTTGGAGGTGGAGGGCAGAGTGTAAAGACTGTGCATGGATCACTTGCTGCTGGCTGCTAGCTTACCTCATTGCTGAGCTCTGTGTGGTCTTTCTCCGGGTCAGGCGAGGCATCTAGCTGCGATTCACTTTTGCTGGCGCAACGCAGCTTCACGCGCTCGGCCATTTTGACGCACTTCTGCGGGCTGGTCACGGATACGCAAGCTGCAAGGATTTGGTTATTCGTAGGATAGTAGAGTAAGGCTTCCGCAAGAGTTGCCTGGACGTACCATTCAAATCATTAAGTTGGTTGCCATTCTCATTGGCCTCCATATCGCAGGCAAAGTATATGACATTGGGTTGATCCTCCACGACGGCTGAGTCCTTGTCCTTGGTGGCCAGCTCGGCCTGCAGCAACGCTATCTGTGCACGCAGATGCAGCACCTCCTCCTGCAGCGCCTCCAGCTGCCCCTTGCTAATGGCATCCTGTTGCTTGATGTGGGCATTCTCGGCGCTGGAACAGGCACCTTCGAAATCCTCCAATGGCTCCGTTTGACACTCGCCATCCGCATTGGTTAGATTCAGTTCCGAATCGTATATGGAGCCCTCCTGGTAGCTGACCTCTGTTGAAATTGATTTCTATATTGAGTCTATGAAATGCATTCATTGGGACTTACCGCTGCCCTCGCCCTCCGGCTCCTGCTCCTCCATTATGATATGCTCCTGTTTGCTGCGCAATTTCTTGCTAAGCTCTGCAATGACGCAGTGCATCTCGGTGATGCGGCATTCGTGGGCTTGACTAACCACCTCTAGGCGCTTGTGACACAACTCACGCTCCGCATTGCTCTCCGCGAGCTGGCGCTCAGTCTGTTGCAGGCGCTGCAACAGCTCGCGCACTCGATTCTCCAGCTGCTGCACCGACAACTGCTCCACCTGCAAGAGAGGAAGCCACAGATTAGTGGAGAGGCGAAAAGAAATCGATTTTCAGTTTTCACATTGATAGGCCGCCGTGACATGGGCTGTGCCATCAGCGTATATTCCCAACTGCGTCGCTTCTCGGCATGTTGAAAGAATCCCACGCCCCCGCTGCTTCCGCCAAGAGGCGTGTCACTGCAGCACAGGCAGCTCAGGCTGCGCGGCAGCAGCTCTTCCGATATCATGATCAAATTGAAAAGAGACCCAAAAGAAAATAAACGAATTTTCGCCAGCGATTACGTCGTCGTTGTTGCTGCACTTCGTCTTGCAGCTTGACCCTGTGTCTTGCAACGCAGCTGCGCAGTGTCAAAAATCCACACACTCGCGGTACATACACATGTGTGTGCGCGTGTGTGTGTGTATGTGTAACTATGTAACGGTCACTTACAATTTGTTGACAATTCGGCAATGTATGTATGTGTGTGTGTGTGTGTCTGTTTGTGTCCGTGAGTCTGTGTGTATTGTGTGTCTACGTGTGTGCGTGTGTATCCCTGTGTGCGTGTCTGGCTGCGTAGCCATGTAACGGTATTTACTTTGTTGACATCATGTCTGTGCATGTCTGCGTAACGGTCACTTACTTTGTTGACAATGTCGAGGGTCGAGCAGCTGGATATGTTGTTGTCGCTCTCGGTCGTGTCCCGCTGCGTATGCTCCGGTGAGTCTAGCTCAATGGAGTCCACAATATGCCTGTGTTGGCCTAGAGCAGTACTGGTGGCGCCTACACCGCCTCCGCCGCGCGGTGATATGCTGCCGAAGACGAATTCAATGTCATCGCCCATGACACCACCGCCACCTCCGCCGCCGCTACCACTCTTTGATATGGCTTTGATATCCCTTTGCTGCTGACGACGCGCCAGATCCGCACCAATCTTGGCAACGCGCGCTATTTGCACATCATTGGACATCATTGATAAAGTGTTTTGTCCACTTGTCTATCTGATTGGATTTTGTGTGTGCTGCTTATTTATTGACTAATTTGTCTGGCTCAGACGGTTGACTTTGTGTGCGCTGCGTTTTTTTACGCGTGTTTCGTTTGCTTTTGATTGGCGCTCCATTTCCACATTTTAATGGCACTTGAGTTCACATGGTCGGCGCAAACAGCAATCACTTTTAAGACATTTTTAATTCAAAAATTAAACGAAACAAAAATAACATTGGCAACAGCTACAAATTTCTTATCAGAAAATGTATACTATAGTAGACATGCAGTGTTGCACAACGCGGAAACTCCAGTCGACTGTGCTGTAAAACTGCGCCAAAAATTAACGGCGTTCATATTTGAAAATCGAATAAATAGAAATTTGTCGACCTAAATTTTTTCTGCACACATGTGTTTATTGTACGCTGTAAACAATAGATAAATATATGTATGTAGTTTATAATTCGTATTGTGTATAACGGCATAAGCACGATATGCTTATTATGAATAGGTATGCACGGAAGCATTACACAAATAACATTTAACTAGTTTACAACTAATGCATTTTTGCCGCGTTTTCAGCGCGTATTGTGACCATTGCCTCGTAGTCCCTCATATCCAATTCATGGAGTGCTTTCTGCACCAGCTCAGCCAAATGTGGAGGCAAATCTTTGAGGTCTTCTTTGCGCTCCCTAACCACAGCGCTAGAGACTCGCGGTGTGCCATTATAATTGCCCGAGTCAGTTGTAGGCGACGGCGATTTATTCGTATTAACCGCCAGCTCATTCAGCCGCACGTCGATGCCATAAACTGAAGAGTCGGCTGACTCCGAGGATAGCGAGGACATGCCGTCATCCGATTGTGGCACACCCGTCGTTCTCCCATCGTATGGCTCGGATAAATGTGTGTTTGCCGTTTCGGCTGGTTTGACTGCTGCTGTTTCCACCTCGTCGGGACCCACATCATCGACCATGGCTGCACAGTAGCCATTGAGTAATAGCTGCGACGGTGCATARCCCAGCTCCTCCTCCTCCTCCTCGTCCACATTCTCCAATGCGGTATTTTCGGAGTCGCCGCTAAGTAGCTGCTGCCAACGCTGCTCCAGCTCCGCCATTTTGGTAGCGAGTATTCTAAAAAGAGGCTTCATTTTATTTAATTTTTGAGTAATATTTATTTATGTTCTTTTTTACTAACTTGTTGGTGCGCTTCTGATGCGTCAATGCCAAATTCTTATCGTTTAGGTTGTCCAGCAGCGCCAAGCACAAGGATTTTAGATCGTGTATGGTCTCCGTTTTGCCGGGCAAATCAATGCCGCTTTCCAATATAGTTTTCACTATAAAAGGGGGCTATAACCTTAGAAATCATTTAAAAAGACTTTAAGCAACTGACCTTGGCGTGGACTCAATATGGTTTCATCATTTGCGCTGCCCCCAAGCTTAACGATGCCCTTTTTACGCTTTGCTTCCACCATGTTCTGAGCAAATGCGGATTTGGGATAAATATTTTATAAAATAAGTATGTTTATATTGTGAGGCGTATGATAAGAGAGAGAGAGAGGGAGAGAGAGAGGGAGAGAGAGAGATAGAGAGAGTGAGAGAGAAAGAGAGAGAGAGACAAATAAGTGTCTAGTGTCTGTAGGATTCGTACAGTGAGTAATGAGTATATTCAGAGATTCCAATGAGAATCTACCTAATCTGATTCTATGAATGCTCCCAAGGCTGGACAGAATAAGTTTAGATAGCTGAATAAAGTATCTGATTGCATATTCTAGTCTTCTAAATGTATGTTCTCCTTCTCCCCTTTTGAGATGCCATATGGTATATATGCCTGTCAGGTAAAGCTTCAAGGTTTACCTTATATTTATTGATCGATTGCTTCGTCAGCTCTAGCTCACTTTCCTGGATCTTCACACGTTCGTGTAGGTACTTGTTCTCCAGCAGCACGCCATCAATATCGAGCAACTGAAAATGGTTGGACGTTGCATGCGTATTTTTCACATCTAGTATGTAAGGCTCACCTTTGGATGCATTTTATTGGCCTTGAGGGCCACCAAGAGCTCATGGTTGAGCCTGTGCGCTTTGCACTTGTACGCATCCCGTTCAGTAATTAGTTCCTCCTTTTCATCAATAATACCCTTGAGATCGTATGCTAATTGTGCGTTCTTCTTTTTTAGATTCTCCAGATGGCAAATGAAATTTGCGCGCTCCCGTTTCCATTGCAGCTCCTCTTTGTTGTGGGCCGCATTCTCGTTGAGCAGCGTCTGCAATCGGGATTTGCTGTTGGACTCCCTCTCGCGCAACAGTTCCATGTCGCCTTGCAGTTCGTTCAACCGTTGCTTAAGGGCCTCCACCTCGGTGTTTAGCTTGAGATTCAATTCACGTGTCTCGTGCAGCAGCGCAGCAAGACTCGAATTCTGGCTTAAAGCGCCACATGCGTTTCCATTCCCGGCCAGCAGTTCACTATTCCGTTTCATGGCCGAGTACCGCAACTGCAGCGTCTCGGCCATCAATTTGTACTGGTCGCGCTCAACACGAAACTGTTCTAGCTCCTGGCGTAAGATGCGCAATGCCTCAACTTTACTCTGAAGCTTTCGATGGACTGCCGACGTCTGCAAGAGGGGATTAAAAACTGTTCTCCATTCTTCAAACATCTATTAACTTACCTCCACATTATAGTTTTCCATATGTTTGCCAAACATGTAGTCGTATTGATTGACATTAACAATGTTACTGCTGCAATTGCTATTCGAGGCATTGCTCTGTCCGTCGTCCGTGTCCATGTCTCCATATGCTACTCTTAAGTTCATATAAGCTCGTCGTGTTTGACATGAACAGTTGTTAATTATGCGTTGACTTGTTTTTATTTTTACATAAAATAAATGTAAATAATTTATACACAGTTTTCAACGTGCTACGTGCGCTTGTAAGTGCAGTAATTTGTTCATATGTTCGTCCATGGAAAAATAATCAATTTTTATTTGCGACTGCGCAATCCATAAAATTTGAATGTTAGTGTTGCTCAATTTTTCGGAAGGAGCAGCAGGTGTTAGGCACCATTGTTGCCAGGTTCAAATATGGTTAACATAGTTGCCCTGCTTGATTTTCGCGCCAAATGGGGATGCTGGGTAAATTGAATTTTTTTTTAATACAAATTCGATCGAATTTTATATATTCTATAATACACCATGTTTAAAAATAAATGCTGTTAAATATATTATATAGCATATACATCCTGAAAAAAGTCCGTCAAAGAAATACCACACTTTAAATATTCACACACTTTAAATATTCGATTCTTCTCAGCTGATTTTTGCATATATCGAAGACATCGGAAAATTCATCGTGAGTATATATTGACGTTCCGCCACGTTTTAGAAAATTGTACCGCATTGTGTGCTATCGGCAGCTTAACAAATCTTATATTTAATAATACAAGCCAGTATGATAGGCTCTGTCAATATAAATGATTTCCTTGTAAAAAACTACATTAATAAAATTACATCAGCTGCGGTCACCAAAATGATGACGTCCCCAATAAAATTTGAGACCTAAAAATATCTATATCGATATATCAGAAACTTCAACAATTTCCTTTTGTTTCTCCTCGTTCTTCGTCAAACGTGCAGTTGGCTTATTGGTAATTCATTCAATTAAAACTTCCGGCCGTTGGATAAATAATTATCTTATTTAATGTGCTTAACTATTATTTATCATCCAACAGTTAATTAAAATCACAGTGTACAAATATTTTTAGAAAATTACCATTTTTTTTGCAAGAAGAGTTACATGTGCGAACGTAAATGAGATAGCAACACGGCGTGAGAGACGAAAGAATACGAAGTGGGTTAGCAAAACAATAAATGAAATGCATACAATTAGAATAGAGAATTGTTAGCCGACAGATTAGTTTACGCGGGAATGAAAAAAAAAAATTCATGGTAAGCCAGTAAACGTCACATCACCATATATCAACGTCCACACATACACATAAACCCCGATCACACGCCGAGACCTCTTCATTCTCATCAAACAAGCCGACACTCCTCTGGCTTGCTTAATCAATTAGCTGGGCACATCACACACACTCAAACCTCAACTCATTTTGGTCAGTCTAGTTTTGTACTCGAAGCGTAGCGTGCGTGTCCGACATTAAAGCTCCTCAGCACACACAAACATACACTGACAGAATGGTGTCCAGTAAACTCCAGTCGCCGACGAGCGAAATGGTCTTGCTTACACCAAGCACTGAGAATCCGCCCAGCATTGTGGCAGCTGCGACCAAGGATAAGGATGCCAAGCGAGAGGGATCTGCCGAATCGGACAGCAGTCGTGTTGTGATGAAGAAACAGTTAGGCTTACTCGAAGGTGTGGCCATTATACTGGGAATTATATTCGGCTCGGGCATATTTGTTTCGCCCAAAGGTGTCCTGCAGGAGGTGGATGCTGTGGGCACTTCCTTGGTCATTTGGGTGCTATGTGGCCTGCTCTCCATGATCGGTGCTCTTTGCTATGCGGAACTGGGTACAGCCATACCCAAGTCTGGCGGGGATTATGCCTATATATTCGAGGCATATGGTTCACTGCCGGCTTTCTTGTATCTATGGGATGCCATGATGATATTTGTGTAAGTATTTTATTTTTCAAATTTGTGATTTCAATGAAAACTTCAAGCTTAACCTCTTTCTTCCATTTACATGGAGTTAAATGAATGGCTTACGCAATTCAAGCGATTGTTGCGTCTTCTCTTTCAATTAAAGGTTTAATTGAATTCAAGAGATTTGTGTTGTGTTCTATGGTTAGTGGTCAAGATTAACGCTGTCGGTTTCCATTTAATTTCAGGTTATCAGGTTAATTATTGCCAATTGCTATGATTGCTATGATTATTGTTATCACCATCTGATATGCCTTCAGCGTTATATTATGAATATATATATTCAGTGCTTATCATAATTATAGCCCACTCAGCAACTTAAACTTTGAGCCAGTTTTAACAACATATTTAAGGGTTTTCAAAAATATATTTTGCAGCACTTTGTAGACTGGAGCATATTTAGTAGATTTTATTGAAATTTTTGTTCAATTTATGGAAAACTAAGAAAGAATCGTTAACTTTTGCTCTGTGCTAGCATTTTTGCTTGCATTTTTGTGTATCATAATTATAGCCCACTGTCGCAAATTTTTTATTAAGTGCGGAACAGACTTTTGGCTTTAAAGACATTGTAATTAAGCAAATTTAGATAGTTTTTAAGAGATGCCGCTTGGAAAACAATTATCTTATTATGAAAAGGGCCGTATTTTCTCACTTTTCGAGTCAGGAGAGTCTATTTCGAGTATTTTACGAATTTTGAGAAAAAGTCAAAGTGTAATTAAAATTTGTTTAGAAGAGAATTTTTGAGTTAACTGAGGCAAATGGAGGCCGGACTATGTATTACCATTAGTTTTTCCATCAATCCGCAACGAATTTCGATTTCTGTTACCAAAATATGAATATGGGCTATAATTTTGATACAGTAAATGGTGCTGTTTTTCTTTGTTTTTAACTTCTTTTTAAGAAATCGTTATTAAATCGTTCATTTTAAGTGAAAAAGTTTTTTGCCATTCATAATTGAAATACTGAACTACTAATTTTCGAAGATTTTGAGGAAATATTCCATTTGGGAAAAATTTATGATAAGCACTGTATATTCAGATAATGAATATATTTCTTGTTTAGCAATACTACTATTGCTATTATTGATAGATTTTTATAATTTATAGCTGTCATATGCTGCCTATGCCCAAATTTATCTAAAAGTTGTGATTTAATAGGCTGCAAGGCCAAATTTTCGGGGTTGTTAAACTTTTCAATATAAATGAAGCTTAATTGATATATGTATGTCTTCAAACCAATAAATCTATTTATATATACATATTTGTGTCTACATACCTTATGCATTTGTGTAGTCGTGATAATGATACAGTGTAGTAGCCATATATATGTATTTAATGGAAATATTTGCAAACACTTGCGCGATTGCAAATACTTATGAATTGTTTTGTTTGCCTGTTTCCTGTTGAATTTGATATATTTATTAATGTGAATGTTTACTGATTTGCAGGCCGACGACAAATGCAATAATGGGTCTAACATTCGCCTCCTACGTGCTGCAGCCCTTCTTCGCCGATGGCTGCGAGATACCAAAACTTGCCCTGCAGCTGTTGGCAGCGGTTACCATCTGCTTTCTGACCTACTTGAACTGCTATTATATGAAGGTCACAACGAAAATGCAAAACGTTATCATGTTCACCAAAATAGCGGCTTTGGTATTAATCATTATCGTTGGCTCGATCTGGATGCTGATGGGTCATACGGAGAACTTTGATAAGCCTTTTGAGAATACCGAAACCGATCCTGGCAAGCTATCGGTGGCATTTTATTCGGGCATTTTCTCATATGCTGGCTGGAACTATTTGAATTTCATGACCGAAGAGCTGCGCGATCCATATCGCAATTTGCCGCGTGCCATTTATATATCATTGCCCTTGGTAACTGGCATTTATGTGCTGGCCAATATGGCCTATCTGGCTGTGCTATCGGCACCCGAGATGATCGCTTCCAATGCCATTGCTGTGGTAAGTACGCTTGTATGTTAATGAGTATGAGATTATATTGATTGATTGTTTTTTGTTTTACATTTWATTGTAGACTTTTGGCAACAAGATTATGGGAAACTTTGCCCTCATCATACCCATTATGGTGGCCATTTCGGCTTTTGGCGGCCTCTCAGTACACATTATGACCTCGTCGCGTATGTGCTTTGTCGGCGCCCGAAATGGACATATGCCCGCAGTGCTTTCTCACATTAGTGTTAAGAGCTACACGCCGTTGCCTTCGCTAGCTTTTCTGGTAAGCGGCTGTCTGACTTCTAACTTGACTTATTGATTGAAGGGAAGTTGACTAATTGAACTTGTTTGCCCTGCAGTGTCTGCTATCAATTGTGATGCTGCTTGTGAGCGATGTGTATGTGCTTATCACTTATTCCAGCATTGTGGAATCTTTCTTTATTATGCTATCGGTGTCGGCTGTTTTGTATTTTCGCTACAAGCGCCCCACTATGGATCGGCCAATTAAAGTGAGTTCTGCAGCTTTCTTATGAATCTTTTGACAAATATTCGTTTGTATATGCATTATAAATATTTTCCTTTGGTCAGGTCTCGCTGTGGATACCCGCAGTGTTTGTCATTGTGTGCGCCTTTCTGGTGGTCGTTCCGGTTTACGTTGCGCCATTTGAGGTCGCTATGGGCTTGCTAATAACGCTAATTGGCATCCCATTCTATTACGTCGGCATCGTGTGGAAGAACAAACCAATATGGGTGCAGCACGCGATTGGTGCGTAGACAAGCGGCGTGTGCCGTGCGGGCCTTTGGCCTTGACAATCGCCACGTTTGGTCATTAAAACCTACATTTACACATTCACATATTACCAGCTAAATAATATATTTGCGTTTTATGTACTTTCTAGATTCAGTGACATTTACGTGCCAAAAACTCTTTTTGTCCGCCAAAGAGGAGAAAGAGGATTAATTAAAGACAAGGATATAAATAAGAGAATTCATCACAAATATACAATACATCACAATCAATACATCACAATCGATACATCACAAATGACACATCACAAATAAAAGGAAGGAAAGAATGTTGACTAAAAGTGCAAAGACATCGAATATTATTTTTAAATATTTATGTATTTGACACATTTGTGGACTACTAAATTGTTAAGCTCCAGTTATAATGATTTCTGTATACCACAAATAGGAGATTGGTTTGTTTCTTACTTTTATTTTTATGATATTTACGTGACGAGGAACAACATGTAAATGGTTTTTATTTACTTTATTTCGAACTGATTTGTATCATGTACCATAGATTAGATGTTTAAAATAATTTTGCCAGATCATATATGTGTGTTTATATAGGCTTATAAATTATATTAATAATATTTTGTTAGACCAAAGTACACCAATGTAATATGCCAAAGTTCATAATACATTAATAATTTATTCATCACAGACTACCAAAATGTATACAACCAAATTATTTCCGCTCGATTGATATTATCTATGTGTTTTTTCTCATTTTATATTACAAATTGTATTTGATAACCTAAGAGAAACTGAATAAAGAAACTTTTACATGTTAAATGTGATCTTTTAGGCGGCAAGACTTGTCGCAGAAAAAGTATGCAATGCAAACTGTAAAATTGTAAATAGTTTAACATACGGTCACGGCGTATTTGTCGTCATTGCCATTGTCCGACCAATTCATTATCACTGATAAGCCATATGAATAGAATGTACTTATTTTTAAGCCCAGTAAGACAGTATAATGTACGATGCTCGGCGATTTGCTGGCAGGTTTTTGTCTAAAAATAAACCCCTAGCTACTGGCCGCACAAATAGCCATTGGACATTCCCGGCACGTCGCCGTCGCCTGACGACAGCTTTACGGATTGTATCTGAGAACATGAACGAAGCACATGTAGTAGTCCTCTGTCTATCTGTCTAGTGTGTAAATATGCCATGAATCGATCTCAATATCTAGGTGTTTTTAATTGATAAAAGTATAGTGCGCCTTTCGAGCTGCTTGTCATTCTGCTCAGGCGCTTTCATTTGATTATCTGATCAAGATTTCGCGTACCTATGGCTAAGTGTTTTGTATGGGCCGTGCGCTAAATTCATAGCCGTTTTCAGTTTTTTATTTCACTTTTTATAGTTTTTTAAATATATGCCAGAGAAAAGACAAATTACTTAAGTATTGTCATGAGTAGCAAATTTCAGCTTTATTGCTTTCTTTAATGTTTGAATAATTGTGCTTAAATGTGATCATCATTTCGGATGTGCAACGCTCTGCATTCCAAATTGCTGCGCCCATAGCTCTGACAATTTATATAGATCTATAATGTGGGATACGTACATGTGTAGATATATTGTAAAACAAGCATCTAGTCAATGATCAAATCGGATGTGAATCAAATGAAATTATTACAAGATCAAAGTCATTTTAAGGGCATAGGCGAGCTTCATAATATATATGTCTTTCTGTAAAGGAGGTGATCTTGATGGGAATAGCTCTAAGATTGAGTTATATAATTATTATCAGATTTACACTTCTCTATGTAGTGTATATAGAATTTAAATTTGTATGGGGAAAGATTCAAATTTCATATATTTTCCGACCCCGAAATGGGTTAGCTAAGAACAAGTAGTACGAGAAAGACGATTCTATGAGTTATCACCTTTTGTTTAGTTATATATGTGTTTATTGATCAAATGGAAATTTCGACTTGGCACAGTTAATTAATTTTCAGCTGATTTAATTAATTAACATTTGAAATAGGTAAATCTATTAGTAAATCTATTAATATATTTATAAGTATTTCCCAGCTCAATTATGATATAACATTAAATCGAAGTACCTATACATATATGCCCATATATAATGTACAAAAACTTGTATATCCTGCAATTTCGAGCACGTGCTTATCATATGCTGTCGATTAACACATTCAGGCAACACATTCGACTATCATTAAGAGTTCGTGCTAAATCGTTTAAATACGACAAACTAACAATTATCACGCGTTCCCAAAATGTTCTATAAATCTAGACTGGAAATCAAGCATATAACATATACATTTCACTTCTAATTGATTACGCTCATTTCTATGAATTATGAAACACAATTAAGAAAAAAAAAAAAACAAGCAAAGTTGAATAAAATGTAGGCTACCGATATATCTCACCTATTATGTGCATGTGAGGATAACTACTAATTGCTCGAAATGATATTTGCTTTTTGTTTTTTTCCAAGGTCTCGATTGGAGTTTGGAACTGAGTTCGATTGAAATTCCAACTGTCTGGCAAATTATCGTATAATGTACGAGCTCATAAGTAGATGTAGGTTCAAAATGTATTCATTTTCGAATTGTCAAGCACGATTTTGTTTCTTTGCAATATCCAAATATGTCACGAGTTTCCGATAGACATGTAAATAAAAAATGTTTATGCACTGAAAAATCACAATTATTTCAATTGGAATAACATTGCAAATGAATCAACTGAAATTGTAGAAATGTTTTAGCTTAAGTTGGCTGCGGCAAACAGAGGAATGCTTGGGATTCACATGAAAACGGAGCTGAATTTAGAAACAAACAATCTGAATGGGAAATATGTTTATTATTTACGTTGAACTGAATACGTGTAAACAATTGGGAGTTCTCTAGTGCAATTTTGTATATATTTCTTGTATTGTGTAAGATCAATATACCTAATCCTAATAGTTATTATACGTATAGTCTATCATATTTATGCATAGTCATGCGGAAATGTCTCACACTTAACGTGTGAAAATTCGCTGAATGACTGTGTTTGGGCTCATCAAATTTCATTTGATTATGATAGCCACGCGTATAATTAGTAGCAGTTTGTTTTGTTGTTTTTATCAATATTTACCAAGCATTAGTAATGTCTCAGACCTATATAAGAGTTGGAATGCAAAACAAAATATTATCAAATGATTGAAAGCCGTTTCCTTCTTGTGTTTACCTTCAGCATTAACCGAGCGCGAATTGTGATTAATCATCTTCGTTTTCTTTCGCATTCTAATTAATGTTGAGCATACACAGTGTGCTGCATTTAGTTGAAGTGAATTTTAGGCGCACGTAATGCTACTTCAAATTCGATTTCATTAAGCGAACGGCATTAGAGCAAAGCTACAACAGCTCAATACTTCAATACCCATTGACAAAACGATCGATGGATCGATGGATCGATCGTGTGCTCGGTCGTAGTCTGGTGTTGTTTGTGCGATTTCGATAGTAGCATGTGTGTATGGGTTAGTGCATACCTTGTAAATGTGTACTGAAGAGTATGTCGATTGTGTAATATTATGTAACAGTTCTATAGGAAATCATATCAATAATAATTTAAGACAGGTCCAGAGTAATCTAATTGTAATATATTATATAATAATATGTATATGTATTACATACTACATGGAATATAGCATTGTACACCTAAAACCTACTAACGTGTACCTTGTAAGTAGTACCGAACACCCTGTATATACCACCTAGTATACTGTATACTCTATATAGTATAGTATATATAGTATATTTAATTGCATATTACCTTGTATCTCGTTAGCGGATTGTTGTACCTATTACCTTATGTCGTACAAAGTACAGTAAATTGTACCTTAAGCTAGAGCATCTTACATTTTATTGCCTAGTACCAAGTATCTTGTACTTTGTGCATTGTACCTACCATCTACCATTCCTTATGTAGTATACGCAAATTGTACCTAAAACTCTATAGCACTTTATATATCTAATATCTAAATTGTTTCTAGCACATAAATTTCGTTATAGGGTATCTCTCAGTCAGCAATGCTCACCAAGACTGCCTTGTATTTTATGGCCGCTGTCGAGAGTGCGGAGCACGCGCTTTATGCGGGGATTTGAGCTTTCGAATTTTTCAATTAGTTCGTTGACGCTTGGGGAAGTTGTGAAGGTGCTTGAAACGCTAAACGTACGCGCAGTTTAGAATCGACCAGCCAAGCGCAAAGGTGTTGCAAGGTGTTCTACCAGTGCTCGGTGATCAGGAGTGCTGCTCAGTGTAGAAGCAAGCCTTGAGATATAGAGCTTTGAAATATAAATACAAATAGTAATAATAATCAACGCCTGCGATGCACCTGCTAATACTACAAGCAGCTTTTCTTGTGATCTGCTGGTCTCAAGGTAAAAACAATTGCTCGTAAATATGGTGATACCCAAGTGTTACATAACAGCTGACAGGCTGGCAGGCGACAGACGATAGACGACAGGAAACAGGCTGTGGTCATGTGATACCTTTGACCATTGTACCAAAAGTGCAGTCATCGAATAAATCAATGAAAAGCAAAAGTGATAATCATAAATACTGAAGGTGCCCCGGCAAAACCCAATCAGTATCAATTTCACGCCGAACATACGAAACTGTTTCAGCTCTTATCTTTGATCAGTCAACAATGGGCATACGACCTGACAGAGTGCCACCAAATGTCAAGGCTACGGTGAATCATTTTTATTGATATCTACCTGACTACGATAGCTATATTTAGATATTTACCAATTTATGATAGTACAGTTCGAAGTACTACCAAAGACACACTTTACACAAATTTGATTGCCGTAGATTTATGGTATTTACGTGCACTTGAAACTTTTTCAATGGCGAAATACCTATTAATACATTTATTGCTGTCATTGATTTTGATTAAGCACACTTCAGTGATATAAATAGGCTGGTAGCTAATGAGTACCCTAACTTACATAACAAACTTATCTGTTACGTGATCTGATCGTGATACTCGACTCCAAGAGAAAACAAAGAAATAATCAAGTGTTAATTCTCAGATAATCAATAAATTAGCTACTCTAAGAATTGAAGCGATCACTTCAGAGATCATCATATGATCGATGTTGATATCGTGTTAAACGATTTGAGTATGCTTCAATTAAGCAAGAGTTTTGTTTATTTACGGCTTATCGTCTATAAGTCAGTATATATTTTTATGTATACACTCATTGGAGATATGAGTCGAAATGTTTTCGTATTAGGATAGGCCTGGAGTCTATTCTTAGCGTTAATGCCATCATATGTATTTTTATATTTCATTAGTGTTTGCTTTTATTGATATTATAACTGTTATTGCGTCAACGTGATTTGAACCTATTTATTACTTATTATTGATATTCATTATTTATTAAAATTATATTACTATATTATATTACTTATTACCTCTTCGGTAATAATAATACCTTTATAAGTCTTAGTTTCTTTTCCAAGCAGTCACATTTGTCTTATTTTGGGCTCTACTTTGACTTTATCTTGACTGTCTAGCAGATCAATCCTTCTATCCTTCTTTCATGGTAGAAGAATGTAGTAACAGAAGTACTTTGTGGTCATCATCGAACATCATCGTGATGTCAGAGTTCACTTCTGAGTTAACTCATATCTTCATCTTTTCAGATATAATATTTATTGTTACATGATCATTATTATTATGTTTACATAATTCAATTAAGTTCATTTTTCAACAAAAAGATTCTAGGCGATAACATGGGTTCACATCAGTTCACATCGGTTAGCTCAATATCACGACGTTTCGTGTTTCGATCTACTTTCCACTTATTATTCTAATTCATTATTTCGATAATGCCAATTAGTATAAATGCGAAAATAAATATTTTTCTATCTGCGCGCTAATTGAGACGTGTAGAAATATATAATTGTCATATGATATGCATGCTAATAGCCAGTTTTGCTATTGGCTTTCAATGTGGGTTAATTTTTCCAGTTATCATAGACGAAATATTGGTTGGGACTTGTATAACATAGGCTAGAATTCAGACCGTGGAGTCAGACAGGTGGTAAAAAATTATTGAAAAATATTTACCTGCTACGCTCATTATCTGTATCAATATCAATATCAATGTCAATGATTGTGGGCCGGTATCTATATATACATATATTATATATATTGTATTTAGCATGGCCTTGTGCTTTCTTTATAAAACTCATTTATTGATTTATCTGTTTGCTAGACAGCAAACAGTTAGCATTTGTTTGCGCTCCCATTTATTTGCAATAATTCACAACTGCTCGTATATGTCACTGATAAGCTCTGTCTGCGGCGCACGTGATATGATTCTGATGTTCCCCAACTAAATGTTAGTGGTTAGCACTAGACACACACTGCACACTGCGACTCACCGTCTACTACATATTTATCAAAACATATTTCATCGTCCTTCTTTTGCAGTGGTCAATGGTCATGTGTTCGGCTACTCGGAGCCCAATCAGAGGCGTTGGGCGCGTCATCACGGACACTGTGCGGGCAAGACACAGTCACCTATAGCCATCACCTCCAGCCATGTAAGTGCACTGTGAGAAAATTCGAACTAATTTGTAAGCAAAAAGCAAATTCAATTAAATAAATACCAAAGTTAAAATTAATATATATATTACGAGCACTCAAAAAATTTAGTAAAAATAAAATTAATTTTTAATTTTTAACGTATAATAACTAAATATCTAACTGTTTTTATTATACAAATATAAAATATAAAAATATTAAACCAATTATTTAACTCTTTTTCTTGTTCATTTGTATGCATTTCATTAACCCCATTTCTCTGAGTGTATTAGTGTATTACACAGTCAATTTATTAATCGTTACCCATTTGAATTACTCATATTATTGCAGACAATACCCATACACATGCCGGCAGTGGATATGATTGGCTATCACAATCTGCTGCCATATCCGCTTAAAATGATTAACAATGGCCACACGGGTAAGTGGGCGAGGGGGTGTCCACATAATTGCACTGATTAATTATCGCGTTTTCGTTCACCAGTCACCATTGGCATACCCAAGCTAAACAGCAGCGAGGAGCTGTACGAGTTCCTGCCGTATATACGGGGCGCTAAGCTGCCCGGCGAGTTCGAAGTGGAGGGTCTGCACTTCCACTGGGGCGACAAGAACAATCGTGGCTCCGAGCACGTCATCAACGACATTCGCTACACCATGGAAATGCATATTGTGCATCGCAACAAGAAATATGCGACGCTGGGCGAGGCACTAAACCATCCCGATGGTGCGGCGGTGCTGGGCTTCTTTTTCAATGTGAGTGCCGGCAGCAGCATTAGGCAAATGTGTTCCAAGCTAATCTCGTTTCCTCTTACAGCTGGATGAGGATGAGGGCCTGGGACTGGTTACCATCAATCGTCATCTGCACCTAATCGCCGAAGCCAACCAGGAGGCGGCACTGAATGTCACATTTTCGCTATCCTCGCTGATTGCCAATGTGGATGTGGACAAGTTCTACACATACAAGGGTAAGCGGGGCGTATGATATGTGAGAAGAGAGCATATTGATTTGTGTGATAAAGAGCTGGACAATTTTTCCTACATATCAATAAGATCAAAATGGGATTATAGTATTATTATAATTAGAAGCTAGTACATTTATAAAACTAGGGTGGCCAATGGCCATGTGAATGACGTCTAGCATTAGATCAAATATATTTTATTTTAGACATGACGTATGTATGTTGATTGATGACGTCAAGAGCTAAATCAATTAATAACAATTGATAGCTTAGGGTGGCCATAATTGGCATATACTTAGGTTGATAACATCTCATAGATGAATGGGATTTTCAAGGTGGACCAAATGTTGTTTAAAGATTTATAACAACTTCAACCTAAAATCAATAAAATCTCTGTGATATACATACGCTCGATATTGAAATCGTTGCTTTCTGATATATGAGCGAGTATGATTGTATGTATGTATGAGTATGTCGATTACACCCGACTGTCTCAGAGTTAGGGCTGTATATTGAGGCGCTCTATTATTTTGCAATACAAATATAAGCATTCATATTTTGTATTACTAGTGATTGAGCGAGTATTAGACAGTCAGTTACATCCTTAACTGTTTTGCATGGGTGCAGCATTGCAGCTGTCACCGTGTCATATGCCATTTACATTTGCATGACAGTTGATTGTATGAATTAATGAGGGAATGGCTTTTAACACTTAATATTTCGTTTGCAGGCTCGCTGACGACGCCGCCCTGCTCGGAGGCCGTCACCTGGATACTGTTTCCCGATCCCATACCCATATCGCCCAAGCAGGTGAGTAACCAGTGCATCAGAGCGCAGTGCGTATATCTAATGTGATTTGTTATTGCTTTGCAGATCTCTCGTTTCCGCCAGCTGTCGGACACTCAGGATGGCGCCTTGGTGGACAACTTCAGAACGCTGCAGCCCGTCGGCAATCGCCGGATCTTTGCGCGCACCGGACACGTGCGCCACACATCGATTGCGGCTCTGAAGCACGAGGGCGATTATCTCAAGTACGATTGGTTCTATTGAGTGGCCAAGCTGTGTGGATGCTCAGTGTGCCATGCTACGTTAGACTAGTCTAAGCAATTAGTTTCTTTTTGCATTTATTATTTAATTGTTAGCTAAAATCCTCTCAATAAGTAAATAATATTATGCTGTTAGACGTGATTTGCGACCGTAGAGCTGCAGCGAATTGGGTATATCCTCTACGAAAAAATTGGCTGGCATCAGACTGAACATCTTCTTCAACAGATCGAACAATGTGCTCTGCAGAGTTTCCTTGATCAGTGGACGGAACGTCTCGAAGAAACTTCTCCAGTTCTCATTGAAGAACTCATTTGTGCTCTGCTCCACCTCCTTGCTGTGCCCATTGAACAAATTGTCCAAATACGTGCGCACATGGCCCACCTTCAGCTTGACGCTCACGTCAGTCACATTGTAGAAGGTGTAGCCGCCCTTCTCGTATAGTCGCGTCTTGGCATTAAGCAGAATGTCTAGATCATCTGTCAGGGAATTATATATGTGTATGTAAATTTCTGATTCGCTGTATATATGTATTTATGTATAATCACCAATCTCTATAAATATGTTGCCGTTTCCATGCAACGGTATTATTAAGACACTTCCGACCATCTGGTATTTACCGTCTAAGCGAAAGCGCGGTATATAGATTTTATCCTGCCAGCTAAAGTCCTTTTTGCTGACCCTGAAATAAGTTGAAATAATTTGAATTTGAAATTTTAGAAAGACGGATGTAAAATTATATTGTATATACGGTATGCCATAGTCAAATTGTAGTTTTAATTATCATCTCTTTTCTATTATTTATATCTTTTCTGTTCTGTTCTTCTATTTCCATCTCATTCCCACTATTTTCATCTCTTCCCTTTTATTTCTTTCTCTCTTCTTTCTTTTCATTTATTTCTATTTCTTTTTCTACCTTCTATTTATTCTATATTCTAATCTCGCTTTCTCTTTCTGTTGATTTCATTTTCTTCTCTCATCTTCTCTTTCCATTTCATTTCAGTTTTGTTGTTCTCTTTCCATCAATCAATATATATAACAGTCGTAATAACAACACACTCTGTTTATAAGCTATATACACGCATACAATGAACGTCTCCAGATGATCTTAGATGTGCAATATTAATTTTAATAGGTATGCTAGAATTGAGTGCAGTGTGTACTGAGAAGGTTATGATTTACTCACTTGCTTTCCTTGACTATTGTTTTGCCAAAGCCACGTATCACCAGATCGCTTAGATTGGCCGATATAGAGGAAACATAGCTATTCGTTTGTGTGAATGTCAGCTGATCCTGTTTCATGGGATCGATGGGTCCGAAAGACGCCTCAATTTCGGGTATGCCTTTGAGTAAGAAAGGGAAGTGATAGCATTTAGTTTCGTGTGAATTTTTTGGTATTCAAGTTTGCTGCTCACCTTTGATGACCTCGTTTAGAAATGCTTGTATGGAACGCGTTGAGCAGTTCGTAAAGTCGGGCTCTTTGATGCGACACGATTCAATATATGATGCTGTGCTTAAGCAATATTAAATTGAGTTTCACTCCTTGATTAACTGTATATAAAAACATCGCTTACGTTTTTCCGTATAATATTCCAGGCCTTTCACATAGACGACAGTCACAAAGAAACAAACCAAGCCAAGCTCTAACGCATCGAACATCGTATAAAACTTATATATTGATTAGTTTTTATAATATTCGTATGTTTATATTTTCCGTTCACCAAGCAAACGCGTTACTTGCGTTTAAATGAGAGATATTTCAGTGAGATGCTGAATCTTATATATCCCATATATGTAGAATATGTAAATACCTGCTCTGAGCGCCGCTTGCAGTTGTAGTTGCAGCAACTAGTTCAATTAAGTTAATATAATTCTGGAAAATACGTGAACAAGCTGAGCAATTTTATCTGTGTGTTTGGTACAACTAAGTTTTCAATACAATACGAGGGCCTCTATGCAATTTATCTAAACTGTTTTTGCAACTTTTACAGATTATTAATAAAGTTAGAAAATAATAAAAGAACAATAGTTCTTAAATAGAAAATATTTAAAAAATACAAGAAAAATATTTTTGCTTATTGTTTTATTTGTAAAAGATGCATTTATATAAAATTAAATAAATTAAAAAAACTACATTTCTTCTAATTTACATACAACATAAAATTTTTAATTTTTGTTTGGTTTTGCAATAACTTGAATTAAATAAGCAATGATAAGTAATATATATTTGAAGTGAATCATGGCTTGCTTACAAGCTGATAAAACACTATTGTAGTTAAAATTTCCATGGCAGCTTACGTACTTCCTCTAAAAGTTGTTTAATAAATTAAATGTCTATGACGATTTACGGAAATCCCATTAAATACTATATAATAGCAAATAAAAAGTTGATTTGTTTATAGTTGCTTGTTCTATTTGCAATAAATCGGTCTTGACGATGTAATAACAATTGTAACTAGTAATTATACATATATGCCGTGAGTAGATTTGAAATGCCCGGAATGTGGCATACTTCTAAGCAAAGCAAAATATTCTTTCTCTTTAAGTTGTATCTCAAGATTATGTTTCTATCAGTAAGGTATGACTTACTTTTTACATTTTTTGGAAATTTTACGCAAAAGAGCACTTTTTCATATACAATTTTATATATACAATTCCAAAAATCCACAGCAAAAAAAAAAAAAGAAAGAATAAATAAATAAAATAAAAGTCTCCATAATTGAACCGAAATTTTGCAGAAAGTTTCTTTTTAAATTTGTTATGATTGTGCTTTAATTCAGATATATGTAATAATACAATTTCAAACACCCTCCCTCATA